TCTTCGGATCGAAAATTGATTTTTAAAAAAAAAATGTCAATCACATCCAAGACTCTCGCATCCCTCTGCTCCAGGAAAGGTATAAGAATTTACTTAGTAAATTTTGACTATATTGAATTCTCATTAGATAACATTTGTTAGTATTGAAGTCATATCGAGCATAGACTCAAGTTGAATTTTCGTACTCGGTGAAAAGACGAAAGAAAAAAAAATATGACCTCTTATACGTTATCAACATACGCATCGCATTGCAAGTAACGAAACTGATCCTTATCGAAAAATTGTACGAAGGTGAGACTAATATGAAGAAACGATAAATGTTGAGAAACATCTGTGAAGCCGATGTCAAAGATCCTCATGTGGACTCAAGACGATCTAATCGCTGATTCAAACACGAACGTTTAGAATCAATAAACTCTGTTATCTAAAGTATCTGATACTATTGTTTGACTCATTAGGACACATTATGCGATTACTTAATGTGAATCGAAATCGTTCGTTAAGCGACAATTCTTTACAAAACTTTGTTGAAATACCATACAAGGAAATTGACATTTTCCTTAGTATGAATTGACTAATTGAATGTTGTTGCTGTTGACAACTTGCGATGAAGAATTTCTCAACTGAAGACTACCAATGATGATAACCTTATATAGGTGAAAGCAAAGCTGATTTCTAAACTGACCGAGTTCATCTCGAATATATATGTGAAAACATCTTAGCCATAAGAAGTGTGAAGTCTATGCGAGAAGAAACATCTGAACTGAAGTAACGTACCGAGAGTATGTCACTTCTCTTATATGAACTTCTTAATATTTCACAGATCCGGGAAATTGCATTCTCTGTCAATCTTGATCCCAGAAAGGACCAATATTCGTAACTCTGTATTGAACGTGTTTTCATCAATGACTTCTTGACAAATAATCATTTGATTAAGTGTTTCCTCTTTAGGAGAATACCTGTTTTGTTCATACGCAAATCAATGAGACTCCATATCAACTACTGCCAGTTGAACAATTCGTTATCCTTTACCTCGTATCATGACTTATTTGATCAGCTTAGAGAATCCATTGTATTCTCTAAGATTGACTTACGGTCAGGATAGTCACAAATCCTTGATAGGAAATTCGAACAAACTGACGATCAAGAATCGCTATCCTTTACTATGAACTGACGACTTATTTGGTCAAATTCAAATAACTTGCTTGTTAGAAGCTATAGACCGCTCAACCTTGTTGAATGAACTGATGCCTTGTTATAAAGCGATTAATGACCCAATTACTTATCATCGGAAACGTCAATGTAGTCTGATTGAATAAATGAAGTAAAGTGATGTTGACAAGACAAATCAATAAGATAGTTGACTCGTTCGTATACCCTATTGATGTGAAAGATTGCGACGTGGTGACAAATACAAAACAAGATGTGAAATAGTGACACCAATAGTGAAAGACTGAAGAATGAAGAAAATGTAGAGCCTAGGAGAATATTTAGGGATAATATCATTGCAACACAAGATACAACTTGGATTACAAGAGGAAAGTTACACATGCAGTTCTAAGTCTAGTCTTCCAGGATTCACAAACTCATCGTAACTAACCCCTGGACCCGGGAAAGCTTTAGCAAACTCTAATTTGTCTAAAAGCTCATCAACAAAGAAAGAAGAAATGAAAAGTTTTCTCTGATTCAAAGCCATGAAGTTCTGCCTCACCGCATCGTCTAGAAATTTGATTAGGTTATTGAAATAACTGTCAACATTTAAGAGACCAATGGGTCTATTGTGTAACCCTTCAGAAGCCCACGAGATCAAAGTGAACAAACCTTCCATAGTGTCAACTCCTCCAGGAAGAACGATGAAAGCTTCCACGGCATGATTCATCTCAAAATATTTGTAATAGTTGCTGGAAATTGTATGCTCTACACCGTACGTAGGTCCATAGACACGTCGTGTTGCTATGTACCCAGGAATAAAACCTCTAACGAGACCACCATTGGTAAAGACTGTTAAAGCAACAGCTCCTTGAAGGCCAACACTACATCCTCCATAGGCAAGTTTAATTTTTCGCCTTACCAATTCCCGTCCTAGATCAACCGCTATAGCCATGAACCTGTAGGACCTCAGGCGCTACCAACTCTTCTAAAACCGATTGGTGTTAGAAGAGGCGCATACCTTACCCTTATAGTGCATTCAGCACACAAGCGCCCACGACATTCGATTGTGACTTGGCCTACATAGCCTCCGCCGCGGGATAATTGCTGCACACATGGCCAACAATCTCCCCCTCAGCAATTGCTCCCGCTGGGAATCGAACTCGTGACCTTGGCTCCGATACCACTTGTAGGACCTCAGGCGCTACCAACTCTTCTAAAACCAATTGGTGTTAGAAGAGGCGCATACCTTACCCTTATAGTGCATTCAGCACACAAGCGCCCACGACATTCAATTGTGACTTGGCCCACATAGCCTCCGCCACGGGATAATTGCTGCACACATGGCCAACAGAACCTTGGATTGCTACCAAGAGCATGACTACCAAGTAGACCAACGAATCTTATGGTATAAGAAAGAGCTCGAGATGTCCCTTCCATAATGTGAGAATGTGAGATGCTCTTGCCACAATTTGATATATATATATAGCCTCTGAAACCGGACCATTGAAGGAAAGGTAATTATCACTAGCCAAAAGAGGTATAGTAAAATGGATTACCTGCAAACAAAAACGTACTCAGTCTGATGATGACATGACGTGTTGAGACTCATGAACAGTTAGATTCGATGTCCTGGAATACGTTCAAACCCGAGACGAAAAGTCCAAATGTCTAAAACCCTAATATAATGACCTATTGAGTAACTTCTGAAGAGTGAAACATTGAGGGAAGAAAACCTACGATTAGTAATGGTAATTCGCAAGCGCTATCTTTGTATCTTGTGATTCATATCCTTGAAATACTCAAACTTGTTGTGTTAACTACACCCTTGAAAACATCTCGCTTGATCAATCTTGAAAAGATTGAATTCCATTCTTTGTATCAAAATACTAAAACCATGATTCTTCATTGAAACCAAAACAATACTGGGTGATACCATGATATCGATCTTTGAAAACTATACCCTGTGGAATACGTGACTCGATCACAATAGTAAAACTACCCTGACTTAAACATTATGTTAAACCTCTCTTTGTGAACTACAAAATGGTCAATACGATTACGCTATCTCCAAAGATTATTATCGATGATATTGTTATAATCCTAGCAAGGAGATGTATGTGCGACAACCAGAGAAGAAATGACGTCACAAAAATAGGCTGAATCATTCAAGTGAAGATCCCGATGTTGGTATAAGAACTAGTGAAGATTCCTCACTCGATGAATTCATGAAATGAATCACGTACTGAGGATATTATCTTTTTCCTCGAAACGAGATTAGCCTTAGTGCTACAATCGAATCTGTCGCTATTGTAACGCCCTACAACCCGGTCTAATAGAATTGACTAATGTAATAAATTAATTACTGTTCCGGACCGGAGTTGGGGAAAATAAAAGTTCTTAGAAAAATTATTTGATCACATCATTAAATTCGTCTTGACTGTCTGATTCCAAAAATGCGAACGGATCTCAATTCAGATCCGTTCGGGGGGGGGGGGAACGTGTACCGTTCAGGTCAGATTTTTACTTAACGGAGTAGGTGAATTTGTAACCCCCCATCATTTCACACGGCCAGCCACTCTCTCCCATTTCTCAAAATAAATTCCCTCATTATTTTCCTTTAATTCACCATAATGGGCACCATTATAAGTTACATCCCCTCCCTCCACTCATTACACTTTTGTAACCCCCCACAATCATCATCACCATCCATCTTCTTCTCCTTCTTGTTCGGCCAGACCAGCAGCCAAGGTAAATCTCCGGCGAAGCTCCGGCGAGTGCAAGGTTGAAGGAAAAGAAGGGCTAGGCCGTTCGTGCGAAGCGTAGTCGTTGTTCGTCTGTTCGTTAGCGTCGTTCGTTCATTCCGTGGTTCACCGTCAAACCCTTCGTTAGAGGTGTGTACGTNGAGTGTCCGCATTATCATGATTATCCGTAATCTAGACTTTTGTTATAATCCTGTTAATTTGCACGTTTGGTAACTCATAGTTCCATAACTTACTTCAAGTAGAAGCAATAACGTTTGTCTCGGTAACTACCAACGTAAGGACTGTACTTAAATTGGCTAAACGTGGAGCTGCGAGTCATGGTAATCGATTTACAGAGCTAGATAATCGATTACCAGGCTGCGCGGAACTTCCCGTTGGAAGCTGCAGAGTGTGACAATCGATTATCACGTGGCTATAATCGATTATCAGGCTTTGCAGATTCTCAAGTCTGGGATGGTTCTACTGATAATCGATTATCACATAGATGTAATCGGTTATCAGGCCTCTCTGAACCTGGGCGTCTTGAACACAATACCTTGACAATCGTTTGTCATGAAGTGTCAATCGATTGTCATGGCCTGCGGAACTTGGGAAAAGAAACTGCACAGCATGACAATCGATTATCAACAGTAGTTAGTCGATTGTCGGCCAGTTCTGAACCCAGGTCTGCCATGTTGAATAAGTTGTTTCATATGGAATCAAATATGGTTGTATGCGTTGAACATAACCTCATTTTCTCCAATCAATGCATTTCATATCATCTAGACGCATGTTTAGGATCATGGCATACTTTGCATCCGCGACAAGAGGTCAGGCCCAGTGCGCCTCTTCCGCGGGCCCGTCTTGGAACCTACGGGTCCAGCGGGTTCACATATCGAGGGCTTGTGTACGTACATGGTAGCTAGGTTTGGCTATCACCCACATTTCTAGTCTCCAACGGGATGACTAAGGCGTTCCTCGGCACATCTACCGCGTGGGGATGTTCACCGAAGGGCAGGGGTGTCCCTGCGTAGTCTAACCCATGCATCATGACTATTTGGCATTGCATCCTTGTTTATTAGTGTCTCTTGTTCGTTAAATTTATAAGTGGTATCCCACACTTTAGTACATGTACGATTATGTTTATATCAATGTGAATGTACTATGTGTTCTACTGTTAGATTACCACTCAGCTTTTGCTGAGCGTATAGCATTGTTTCCGGTAAAAATGTAAATAGAATAAAAGAAAGAGAATGTACAAATAGAACGGGCATACCCGAGCTTGGAAATGGGAAAGAACCGATTTCCGAATACATACCAAGAGTCATCATAAAAACAAAGGAAAGCACAACACAAATCCAAAGAGCCCTACACGGGTCAATAGTACAACAACACTCTAAACAGCATCAAAAGGAAAGGGAATGTATAGGCCACATCCTCCCCACAATTGTGTAAACCATAACCTTGATTTTAGAAATCATACCCTCTATATTAAGAGGCTCCTGGTCAAACTGGCAAGCGTTCCGCTGTTTCCAAATGTGAAATACTGTGCAAGCGAGAGCCACCTTCCTAGCCTTCTTCAAGATGGCATCCCCTCTCCTAGGCGCCTTTAACCAACGGACAGCCCTGTCAATTGTGCTGAGATGACCATCCACCCGTAGCCACTCTTTAATGGCTCCCCATACTATTTTTGAAGCCCAACAATCAAAGAAAAGATGATCAATTTCTTCAAGTTCAACCCCACAAAGTGCGCATTCCATGGGTATCCCCAAGAATTCCAAGTTTGTTTTTGTGGGCAGCCTCCTCCTAAATGCTAACCACATCGTAAAGGAGCATTTAGGAGGTATGGTTGAGAGCCAGATAAAAGCCATCCAAGGCTTGGGATTGGTCTTTGCCCTAAGAAAATCATAAACCTTGCTTGGAATAAGGTTATCACCAATACAGAAGGTTTGCAAAGCCGCTTCCAAAGAGGAGTTACGGTTGTCAAGCTTTTGTACCAAAAGCTCTCGTACATATGCAATCCTTTTGAGAAGAACAGAGTGTCTTTTCTTGGGCTGCCAAAGCCACACATTGTCATGTTTAATATAAACATTATGCACCCATTTAACCCAAAGGGAGTCCTTCTTAGTTGCCAAATTCCAAAGGAACTTACATAAAAGAGCATTGTTCCATATATTAGCATCTCGTAAGCCTAGTCCACCCTCTCCCTTAGGCTTGCATATATCTGCCCATGCCACCTTGGCAAATTTGCTACCCCAAAGGAAGTCACGGCATAGGGAGGTAATACGATGAAGGACATACTTCTGAACTGGAAAGGCCTGCAGCCAAAAGGATTGAATGCCTTGGATCACCGCCCTGATCAACTCCAACTTTCCAGCATAAGAGAGTTTGAGGGTCCCCCATTTGGAGAGGAAACCATCAACAGTTTTAAAGAGGGGTGCAAAATCAGCTTCAGAAATCCTTTGGGAAGCCAAAGGGAGTCCCAAATATCTAACTGGCAGCTGCCCGCGAGGGAAAGGAGCTAAGTCCAGCAGGTTCTGGCTAGTGTCTCTAAATTTCCCAGCAATGAAGATATTGGATTTGGTTGGGTTGAGTGTAAGTCCAGAAACACTAGAGAGGTGATCCAGAGATTGCATAAGGGTTTGCACTGAGTGGAAGTCCCCCTTTGAGAACAACATGATATCATCTGCAAAAGCCAAGTGAGTGATGCCAAGTGAAGCACAATCCTTATGGTAAGAGAAGACTCCCTCTTTTGCTTTAGTGTTGAGCATTCTAGAGAAGTACTCAATGCAAAAGAGAAAAAGAGTTGGTGCCATTGGATCACCCTGTCTCAAACCCCTCTTACTCTTGAAAAAGCCATGACCCTCACCATTTACCATGATAGAAGAGAAAGCTGTGGTTACACATTCCATAATAAGAGAAATGAATCTAGTAGGAAACCCCAGGCCAACCATAACTGCCTCCAAGAACCTCCAAGAAACCGTGTCATAAGCCCTAGTGATGTCCAATTTAATCATGCAACTAGGGACAGATCTTTTCACTGCGTATAGCGTTGTTTCCTTTTTAGTATACGCAGGTAGGCCAGAGGATCATGGAGCTTGACCCGGACGATTGGGTGATCGGAGCGGCGGATGAACGGCAGTGGAGACTTGTTTAATTATCCATTTAATTATGAAAACGTTTTGGGCTTGAACCCACCGTTGTTGCACTTATGTTACTAAAAACTTAACTGTTTTATATACATTTACTTCTGCTATAAATATTCTCTTAAATTCAATTTATCTCCATCATTAAATAATATTTACATCAAGGGTTTTCCGTTACAAGCAACACAAGTGTTTTTCTTTGTAGACGGGCCTCAAAAACTGCCTACGTAACCTCTCCGGAGGGTCCACTGTCGCATCCCGCTTCGTATCTCCACCAGGAAGGTAACCGAATCATCTGAGTTATTATTATTATTATTACTTAACCTGATAGGAAAATCTCCTTCCAGAAAGGAGATGAGTCAAGCTCCCGAGCATGGACAAGTAGGTCCTCAGGGAGAACAGGAGCACGTGAGTGTGCATACCGAGGCGTCTAGCTTCACACCGCAGCACGAAGTTCCGGAGCCGCAGGTTCCGCAACTGAATGCCGTACCACAGGAGGTTCCTTATTTGCAGCCGCAGATGGCGGCCAACATGCTCCAGTTCCTCCAGCAGATGGCCTGGGGTATGTACCACCACCGCCACCGTCGCCTCCCGTGGTTGTGGTCACGATTGAGAAGCTGAAGAAGAACGGAGTCGAGGAGTTCCGTGGCGACTAGATCGCAGAACCCATGGTCGCGAAGCGCTAGCTCGAGCGCGTAAGTCGGGTACTCGGAACCCTGCGGGTTCCGGCAGAGCAGAGGGGCGACCTAGCCATCGCCTTGCTTCAAGACGCTGCCTACGACTGGTGGAAGCGCGCGGGAGCGAATGTCCTGGAGCCGGTGCCATGGGCGACTTTTGATGAGCTGTTCCGTGAGGAGTACGTGCCTGAGCACTTTATGGAGGAGAAGCGCGATGAGTTCATGAAGTTCACTCAGGGTGAACTTAAGCTACCAGAGTACCGCCAGAAGTTTGATGAGCTGGCTGAGTTTGGCCGGGACATGGTGCCGACGATGGAGAGGCGATGCAAGCGCTTCAGGGAGGGGTTACGCCCTGATTTGTCCTTCGGGCTGGTCTCTGCGCCTAGGAATGACATCAACGATCTCTATAAGCAGGCGTTACAGCTGCAGGCGGCCTTACTCAACAAGGCCGAGTATGAGCAGGCCCAGAAGACGCATCCTCGTCCGCCACCGTCACCCAAGCCCAGCTCGAGCAGCAAGAGGCCTCCTCCCGTACCGAGCAGCTCGCACTCGAGCAAGAAGGTTAGGTCCGCACCAGCCGCGTTGTCAGCACCCACTCAGAAGAGTGGGAAGAGCTAGAGTCAGAGTGGGTATCGGAATCCGCCCTGCAACTCATGTGGCCGGAGGCACTCCGGTGAGTGTTGGTTCACTCAGGGCTTATGCCTTGGGTGTGGACAGGCCGGGCATTTTCGTAGGGACTGCCCAACGAACCCTGGGGAGCCGTTCCCGACAGCGACTGCAGCCGCAGCTTCAGCTCCAGCAGCCCAGGCCGCATCGAGCCAGAAGTCGGTAGCGGCATCTAGTCAACCAAAGAGGCCGGCGATGAGCGCACCGTCCGGGAAGGCCCCATCCCGCACCTATGCGATGCACGGACGCACTGAACAGCCTGCCCATGACGTGATTATGGGTATGTTCACTTTATTCGATACATGCGTATCCGCTTTGATTGATCCAGGTTCTACATTGTCATATTTATGTACGTCTATGCCTACCGCGTCGAATATCTCGAGAGAGAACCAGGAGAATCCGGTCGTTGTGTCCAACCCGTTGGGACACAGTCTACATCTCAAGCATATCTATTCCAACTGTCCGTTAGTGGTGCAAGGGAAGAGTTTCCCTGCAAATTTGATCGAACTTCCACATCGGGAATTCGACATTATTCTGGGTATGGATTGGCTCACGGCCAACCAGGCTGTGGTTGATTGTGGTGCACACACTGTACGGCTGAAAGCCGAAGACGGTAGCGAAGTACTAGTCCACGGTGAGCTACTCCCGAAAGCTCCCGAATTCATTTCCTATATGTAAGCTCGTGTCTCATACGCAGGAAATGCAAGGCATTTCTGTGCACAGTCCGCGACACGCAGCTAGAGGCACCTGGACGGGATGAAATCCCTACAGTGTGCGAGTTTCCAGACGTATTTCCAGATGAGTTGCCAGGATTACCACCCCCGAGGGAGGTAGAATTCTCTATCGACTTGGTTCCGGGAACAGGACCCATCTCCATCACACCCTATCGCATGGCCCTAGCTGAGATGAAGGAGCTGAAAGCTCAACTGCAGGAGCTCTTGGATAAGGGTTTCATACGTCCTAGTGTGTCCCCTTGGGGTGCACCAGTCCTGTTCGTTCGTAAGAAGGACGGCTCGATGAGGTTGTGCATCGATTATCGTCAGCTGAACAAAGTCACCATCAAAAACCGTTACCCTCTTCCACGCATCGACGACTTGTTCGATCAGTTGAGAGGAGCCACAGTCTTCTCTAAAATTGACCTGCAATCAGGGTACCATCAGATCCCGGTCAAGAAGGAGGATATCCCTAAGACAGCATTCCGTACACGTTATGGTCACTACGAGTTCACGGTGATGCCTTTTGGCTTGACCAATGCACTGGCTGTCTTCATGGATCTGATGAACAGTGTGTTTCGTAAGTACCTTGATCAGTTCGTGGTCGTTTTCATTGATGATATCCTGGTGTACTCCAAGACGCGTGAGGCGCATGCGGAGCACCTGCGCACAGTACTTGGCATACTACGGGAGCAGAAACTTTATGCCAAGCTGTCCAAATGTGAGTTTTGGTTGCACGAGGTCACTTTCCTCGGCCATGTCATCTCGGCTGAAGGAGTGAAGGTGGACCCGTGTAAGATCTCGGCGATCACGGAGTGGAAGGTTCCACGCAATGCACGAGAGGTGAGGAGTTTCCTCGGGTTGGCAGGATACTATCGCCGATTCGTGAAGGACTTCTCGGGGATAGCATCACCACTGCATAAGTTGATGAAGAAGGATGTGAAGTTCGACTGGACCGAGGCTTGTCAGCGCAGCTTCGAGAAGCTGAAGGAGTGTTTGACCCAAGCACCCGTATTGGTACAGCCGACCCCTGGAGTGGAGTACACGGTTTACAGTGACGCTTCACACTATGGCCTAGGGTGTGTTCTTATGCAGGAGGGTAAGGTTGTAGCTTATGCGTCTCGGCAGTTGAAGCCGCATGAGTATAACTACCCTACACACGATTTAGAGTTGGCGGCGATCGTTCTCGCTCTGAAGATTTGGAGGCACTATCTGTACGGCGAGACAACGCGTATCTTCACCGATCATAAAAGTCTGCAGTACCTTTTGAGTCAGAAGGATTTGAATCTACGACAGCGGAGATGGTTGGAGTTAATTAAGGACTACAACTGTCATATCGCTTATCACCCTGGTAATGCGAATGTGGTGGCCGATGCTCTTAGTCGCAAAACTCTAGCCGTACTCCGAGTTCAGCCTACTTTGCTCCATGAGATTGAGACAGCACAGCGCAGCGACGACTTCTGCAAGCAGACTTGTGAGCTCGCCTCTCGGGGCGAGAAACCCGATTTCTCCGTGCGAGAGGATGGAGTCTTGCTGTATCGGGATCGTGTGGTGGTGCCAGCGGGGGAAGTGAGGGAACGACTCCTTCGTGAGGCACATGGCACGGTATATACCATGCATCCCGGTAGTAACAAGATGTTCCAGGATCTACGGAAGCGTTACTGGTGGCCTACGATGAAGAGAGAGATCACAGAGTTTACGGCGCGATGCTTGACATGCCAGCAGGTTAAGGCTGAGCACCAGGTACCGAGTGGACTACTTCAGCAGATTACGATTCCCGAGTGGAAGTGGGATCGTATCACCATGGATTTCATAGTGGGGCTACCTTTGTCGCCTCGCAAGAACGATACAGTTTGGGTCATTGTGGACCGTTTGACTAAGTCCGCCCATTTCCTTCCGTTACGACGAGATTTCTCTTTACAGCATCTGGCGGAGCTATATATCCGCGAGATCATCCGGTTACATGGAGTTCCATCATCTATTATTTCGGACCATGACCCGCGTTTCACGTCACAGTTCTGGAAGACCCTACAGAAAGCCTTGGGCTCTGATCTTCATTTCAGTACGGCCTTCCACCCACAGACGGACGGTCAGTCCGAGAGGGTTATCCAGATACTCAAGGATATGATGCGCGCCTGCGCGATCGACTTCGGGGATGGCTGGGAACGTTATCTATCGCTGATGGAGTTCGCGTACAATAATAGTTATCAGGCCAGCATCGGTATGGCGCCGTACGAGGCTCTGTACGGTAGGCCGTGCCGGACTCCTACCTGTTGGACGGAGCTCAGCGAGAGGAAGTTGGAAGGACCGGATCTAGTTCGTGAGACTGAGGAGAAGGTCCAGGTGATTAAGGACCGACTTAAGGTTGCATCGGACCGACAGAAGTCCTACGCCGACCTTAAAAGGCACGACATTGAGTATGCTGTCGGGGACAAAGTCTTCTTGAAGGTCTCTCCTTAGAAGAATGTCCTCCATTTCGGGAAGAAGGGTAAACTTAGTCCAAGGTTTATAGGGCCGTACCCAATCACCGAACGGGTGGGACCTGTAGCCTACAGGCTCGAGTTACCATCAGAGTTGAGCAAGACTCACAATGTGTTCCACGTGTCTATGCTCCGTAGGTACCGATCAGACCCTTCACACGTGATACCAGCAGATACAGTCACTCTCGACGAGAACCTTTCATACGAAGAGGAGCCGGTTGAGATCCTGGCTCGTGAGATCCGTCAGTTGAGAAACAAAACCATTCCGTTGGTCAAGGTTCTGTAGAGAAGTCACACCGTTGAGGAGGCGACATGGGAACCGAGGAATCCATGCGCACTCGTTATCCACATCTTTTCAGTGACCAGTGATCAGGTAAATTTCGAGGACGAAATTTTCTTAAGGGGTGGATAGTTGTAACGCCCTTCAACCCGGTCTAATAGAATTGACTAATGTAATAAATTAATTACTGTTCCGGACTGGAGTTGGGGAAAATAAAAGTTCTTAGAAAAATTATTTGATCACATCATTAAATTCATCTTGACTGTCTGATTCCAGAAATGCGAACGGATCTCAATTTAGATCCGTTCGGGGGGGCAGGAAACGCATACCGTTCAGGTCAGATTTTTACTTAACGGAGTAGGTGAATTGGTAACCCCCCCATCATTTCACACGGCCAGCCACTCTCTCCCATTTCTCAAAATAAATTCCCTCATTATTTTCCTTTAATTCACCATAATGGGCACCATTATAAGTTACATCCCCTCCCTCCACTCATTACACTTTTGTAACCCCCCACAATCATCATCACCATCCATCTTCTTCTCCTTCTTGTTCGGCCAGACCAGCAGCCAAGGTAAATCTCCGGCGAAGCTCCGGCGAGTGCAAGGTTGAAGGAAAAGAAGGGCTAGGCCGTTCGTGCGAAGCGTAGTCGTTGTTCGTCTGTTCGTTAGCGTCGTTCGTTCATTCCGTGGTTCACCGTCAAACCCTTCGTTAGAGGTGTGTACGTTGCCCTCTAACTTTAGAATTTGTAGTATAATCATATCGTTATACTCATAG